CCTTTATCCGCTTTCTTCATTTCGCTGTGTGTAACTTGCACGCGGCCACGATGATCCCATCTCCTACGCGCGCACCCTTATTGAGCTCTCGCAGACAAACCCTCCCCTCCCTCCGTCGTTACGAAACAACTATCCTCGAGATATACCCAGAAATTCTTTCCTTTCCCTCCCGTATATATGCCCGTTTTACATTTCTCTCCGTCTCTCTTTCCAATATTACGCGTGGTTACGATCCGTATGTTGCGATGCCACCCTTAATATCGAATATTACACCGATAAGGGAGCGACATTTGTGCGACGTCTCGATTGAGTCAATTTGCTGTTACAAATGTCATGCGATGGGGGGAACACGTAAAGTTTAAGGTTATTTTACTTCAATTTTGCGTAGGAGGTAGGGATTTTTTTCAAGTAATGGATAGAGTTTAATAATAATAAGATGGAAGTATATATGTGGTTTAATTTGTATTAATAATTATTTGATATTAATTTCATGATTTACAAGATATGTTTTCTATACTTTCATTGTTTCATACTTGCAAAAATATTTTTTTTTCATTAAATATTATCACTTCGATTTTTTTTATCATTGTTATTATTTGCAATAAAGGATTTATTATTTCAAACATCTATTTTTTTTCTTTTTTTGATTATCAATAATCTAATAATTTCATTTCTCGGAATATATATATATATCGAATTTAGAAAAAAGTTAATACATTTCAAAAAAAATTTCACTTTAAAATTATTCTGTTGTAAAAACTTATATTATATCTTGTAAAATATGAATTGTTAAGTTTCTTTTTTTCCTGATTTCATCTGTCTTCGTTTTATTCAAGCATTTCCCTCCAACCAACATGTCAAATTTACACGTAACAAAATAAACAAGATCGAGAAAATCAAAACGATTTACACGACGTAAATTACAATTGCGTTAATTAAATTGTACAGGGAAGCAAGGAACTCCAGATTTCACTTTCCCCGTATGAAAGCTGTGCTTGACTACGAGCAACGGGTTGAAGGGTTGCAACTGAAAGGGTGCGAGTGACATTTTATTAAGTGCAGAGTTTCATGCTTCGAAGCGATTTAGGTGTACACTACGCAGCAGAAGTTTCATGTCGGCTACCAACGTGGAGTTAAATCATTTGAATCTTGTAAGGCGGCCGGTGATTTAAAGAGGTCTCATTTTGGACCCATTACCCATACCCTATACCTGTTCGCGGCTTCCTACGCTTTGTAATTATGTATCGTTGCTCCAAGATCGCTTTAAGGTAACGCTTCATTATGGGGGGTGTGCTTATTTTACCGACTGCGAACGTTCTATTGTACAGGATTTCTCAAAACAAGTGACTCGAAAGGGGTTGACTCTACGCGTAAAAATTAAATCGAAAAGGAGAGAAAGGATTTTGTCGTTTAAGGCTTCGTTTTTGAGCGAATGAAATTTGAAAATGACAATATAATTGTAATAATATAATTTTGAATTGGAGAAAATTAATTATTTGTGGGAAGTGTGAGAAGAAGAGAAGGATTGAATGTGGAATAGAAATTTCTTGAAAGATCTATATGAAATTGTGAAAACTTATTTATTGGAAAAAATTAAGATTGAATGATTAGGGTAGAGAAGTAATCAAATATTCGATGAATTTTTAAATTCGAATTTTTGAAAACTAACTTTTTAAAAGAAAAAATTTTATTTCCTCGACTTATTTCTGTATACAGAAATTTTCTCTTCTTCTTTTCTGAAACGCTCTGTACATCATTGTAGAGGTGATTTAATTGAGTTTGAACTACATTATGTTCGTGTGATTGCATTATTTGTTTCTCTAAAGAGACACAAATAAATAAATCATCGTATTATTGTTGCATATGAAATCACTGATTTTACAAATGTGTTAAATTCTTCAATATTTAATGATTAAACGTTTCATCAAATAATATTTAATATTATTCCGTTAATAACATTTATTATCAATGTAGAGCTTCGAATTAGTTAAGTATATTATAATCGGTTTTTCATCAATTGATTTATTTAAAAAAAGAATATTGTGCATGACAAGGAATAATTAAAATCGAATTTCTTGTATTTTATTGAGTAAATAAATAATTGAAAAATATTTGAAAAAGTTATGTATACTTTGAAAAATGTATAATATTTTGATAAACTTTAATCTATTAAATTTTATTTATATTATTTCTTTACGATACGATTTCTAAATAAATTTTAAATAATTATTCAATTTTCAAAAGAAAATTATTAAGTACAGAGTATTCCAGAAGCATGCAATTAAATTTTTATTCTACTTTTTTTAAGGGATAAAAAGGGATTATATAAATATAGAAAATTCCACTTTTGAACGAGAAATTGAAACAGATAGATATTAACAAATATAATCATTAACAAACTAAAACGAAGTGCGTTTCAACACATAGCTGTTTCTTCTTCTAATGAATCATAACATGAAATAACCTACATTCCATAAACAGAGACAAAAATAATTAAACTTCTAATCCAAGTTAATTTCCATTAAAGTAATAACAGTTAATTTCGAAATAAAATTAAATTTCTTTTTTTTTTCGATTCAAAACGAAGAGACGTTAAATAACAAGGCAAAGTTGTGCTTCTTAAAAATTATAAGACAATTGACGTTGAGGACAAGAACGACCATTCTCCTTCTTTCGTTTTTCCCGGCGATTGTTTAGCCGTGGAATATTCTTTATTTCGATAAGAAAGTTTAATTCAGTTTCCATGAAGTTTCGTTGAAAAATCGAGTTCACGACGAGATCGTGTCGTTCCCACCACCCACCACGGAAATATAATATTGTTCTATAATCCTCGCGTTATGTTGAACCGAATTGCGTTGCTTCGAAGAATCAGACTGTCGGAATATACGTTCCTCGTCAGAAAGTTAAGAAAGTTTTGTCAGAACGCGTTCCCACCGTAATACATTTTCGCTAACTACATTACTTCTAAATTGGATTGGGGGAGAGGGGCAGTGGGTGCGGTGGAATTAAGTAAGAGTGGAATTCCGCTCTTAAATACCGGCCATTGTTGTACATATATTTTCTTGTACACATCTACGTACACATCTACATGTGTATATATATATATCGTATAATAATAGAAAAAGGATAGAGGAATAAGCAGATATTATGATAAATTTAAAAGACATTTCCCCTTGAAATACAAGTTTCGTATGAAACATCTTTTGGAATAATGCATGCAATAGATAATTGGATCAAAATGATTAAATTAAAAATTCTTACACGAGACGACTAATTTCAATCGACTGATGGTATTTTTGTTAAAATTAAAATTCTTTGAAACTGTTCACAACAAATCTTGATCAGTCACTCTAGAGAAAAAGAAGAATGCCGTTTTAATTTCCTCATCCATTCGACACGATAATTAAACCACGATAATTAATATTGTAAGAAATAGATATCCATTTCTAGAAATCCAGTCGACCGTATGGGCGTCCAGTAATAAAGGAAATTTTCGAGAGGGAGTTTTCATGAAACGTAATATCCTGTCCACAGGAGAAGAGTCGAATCGTTTCGCTCGAAAGAACTACCTAATTCACCTTTCACGCCATTCCAAGTTCGCCTTTTATTCCACCACGGTGCCATTTCCACACACGTGTGTATATACACACACATACATACACATACACGCATACCACGTATACGCCCTCGAATCCTCAATCCGCGAGATTGAAAGCAGAGAGTTCGCTGTTTCGTCTTTGTCTCTATGGTTCAGAGTGCACCTCCCTCCCCCACCGATAGTTTTCTCCCTTTCAGCCGGGAAGTTGGAGGCAATTTCGTTGGAGTGGCCAGAAACTTCGCACGATGCTATCTCTTATCGAGCGTGGCCGATGGTGGAGGCTCGTTAGCCATTTGCACCTTGGCCGCGCACAAGCCGTCGGTTGGCTGTGTTAATTAACCAGCTGCTACGGTTTGTCCTACCGAAAACATCGCTCTCACGTTGTTTGGGAATTACCTGGTCAAACAGAATGGTTGATGTGAGCAATCCACTATGTAACGATACATAGCCAACCTGATATTACCGATTAGGTCAAGGGATAATTCAGATGAATATGATTCTGATTTATCAAGTTAATAATGGTTTTAAGTTGACAATTAATTTTACACCATCTTTTGTGTTATTCGTATAATTGATGGAATATCTTATCTATTGTATGTTATCGATTAATACGTATTAATAATCTATCTAGAGAACGCTTTTCAATGAATAACACGATACGATGATTTAATAGATAATTTTATTATTTTATGATAATACATAGCCAACCTGATATTACCGATTAGGGCAAGGGATAATTCAGATGAATATGATTCCGATTTATCAAGTTAATAATGGTTTTAAGTTGACAATTAATTTTACACCATCTTTTGTGTTATTCGTATAATTGATGGAATATCTTATCTATTATATGTTATCGATTAATACGTATTAATAATCTATCTAGAGAACGCTTTTTAATGAATAACATGATACGATGATTTAATAGTAGATAATTTTTAATTTTATTATTTGAACTTATTTTATGGTAAAGTTTTCCTGATAGTTCTCCTATCAAAAACAAAAAATTGTGAAACAATTGCACGAAACGATTACCCGTAATATTCGTGCAAAATCAATGAAAATCCAGTGTTGCTTCTCCAACACACAGTAATTTTACTTCCCGTTACGACAAAACGAGAACTCGATTCCAGATTACCATCCCTATAATCCCTCGCGTGTTTACCGTTGCGTATATATATTTGGGAATATTTTCACGATACTTGGCAAATTTGCACTGAAAAAAAGAATGAAAATTGTTCCAATGATCGGCTCTATTGCCGGTTATTACACGAGCACATATGTGGGGCAGGGAAGGGAAAACGGAATTACCCCTCCTCTACAATTAAATGCATGGCAACGCACCCGTGTTCCTCCGAATCGTTAATCACTTTGTAAATAAGCGGCGTTTATTTGATTACAGGCTGTGGCCGACGTACGCCAGTGCGCATAACAACCTCGGAACACTCACGGTGGGCGATCAAGCGGAGCAACACTTTTTGGCAGCAATACACGCTCAACCGGGCCACGTGAACGCTCATTACAATCTTGGCCAGCTTTACAGGTCAGTTTGTCAAAAAAAAAAAAGAAAGAAAAATATTAAATTTAACGACAAATTAAGTTAAATGTGGAATATTTCTCTATCATCTATTTTCTTTTAATAGTTGAAATGATTTCATCAATAATTGATTGGAATAGAGTTCATTTTTAATTATACACGTTTGAAAAATATATATTCGTGATATTCTTCTGCTTGACAAATTCAAGTTTAATTTTTCTGTTATTATTAATTAGATAAATGGAAAGTTTATGCTTTCTTTCAGCTTTTTTTCTTTATTTTGCTATTTTCTTTGACGACAATATGCTAGTTTCAATCTTTACGTATCCATATGATTAAAACAATTTCTTATATTTCGTTTGTGATATTCGATGATCGACATTCGCATCAAATTCTCGCTCGCGTCTCTTCACCAATTTCAATATCGATATTTGAAGGATTCAAAAATGGATTTCGTGTTTCCAAAGAGATTTTCCAAGAAAAAAGGTCCATTCAATGCTTCATATGCAAGCTTCGTCAAAATCGAGACTTTTCAGATTAACTTAATTTCTCCGTAAAACGTTATATTATCTATATTTTACAAAGCGTAACTAATCCGTTTGAGCAAGAAATAAACCGAGACAGACGCATCGGCTAAAACAACAGCAACAACAAGTTAAAATCTAGGATAATTCGAGCGAATGCCCCGAGGTCTAATGAAGTCCCCCGTCGCGCGGAGCGGACAAAATTACGAGAAGAATTCCAAATCCACCGCCGTTCCACTTTATTAATGATATATCGAGGCAATGGTATACCGAAGTACATGCGCCGCGATAAATTTAGCGTGGCAAGGTAATTCTGGCGGCGTGGTCAAAATTAAACTTTAATTAACGCCTCCTGCCTGATAAATTAAAGTTTAATTGACGGTGGGGGCGAGGCGTGCGTGCGTACGCCCGCCATAGTTCGTCCACTAGATGCCGCCTCTCCCTCCTGTACCCTATTTTCGTCTGGTTCCGGCTGTGTGAAGGGAAAACAACGTCCATAAATTTTTCGCCCTTCCAACGCGAAGGAATTTTACGCCGTTAAATCCTCGGAAGCGTGGCCTGCGGATTACCAAGCTTATGAACCGTATCACGGGATTCGAAGTCTTGATGAAACGAGCTCGTTCGCAGATCATTGATAAGTATGTAGTTTCACCGATAACGGTGAAACTAGTTTCTCAGTTTGCCAGCAATGAGGATTTGAGTAGTGGGTTAATTGATTGTTGCAAGTCGTTGCGAATGAAATGGGAGAATCAACATTTTGTTTTTAAATTGTAATTGATAATTTTAAATTGTTTTGAAATCATTAAAAAATGATTTAATAAAATTAGGTCGATATTATAATTTTTTTATCTTGTTTATTTATTATTGTTTTTCTTCATCATCATTGATTTACAGACGGACAATATTTTTTAAAATGATTATTCGTATAATTATAGGAGAAATGTTTACAAGAAAAATGTTCCTGCTAGAATATAATATTAATCATAATTATAAAATATTATATTAATGATTTTGTTTACGCTTTTCAATCATCGAAAATCACTGAAACCACACGTCATTTTTCATTCGCTTGAATCCCACGCGAACCAAATTTAATTATTTTTTATAACCAATAATTAATAATTAATACATGCAATAATAATATAACGTATATACATATACGTTATACCTTTCAAAATAAAATTAATATCATATAAATTATACCAGAATTTTATGAAAATCAATTACTTTGATTATACCACCTCTTTTCCTGACAATATTAAAATAATCAAGTATATTGATATTTAGTTAAAAAATAAGATAATTTTCTATTCTTCGAAATGAACATCATATTTTACCATTTCATGTAATTTGATCAAGTAGCACGGAGATGTTATTAGGTCATTTGGAATCTGCTGGTCATTTAGAGAAAATTGCATTAACCAGTTCACGCGAAATTAGCGTCATGGATAGTGGCATTTCACGGAACGGTGAAACACGCAGAATGTACAATGATGTACAGGGATGCCCATAATGCGTTAAAAGCAAGTACAGACATTCATATCTTGATTGTAATCATGTTACAGTTCGCGAGAATGATCGTCACACATGATTGGAATAGGTTGTCATAGTTAATACAGTTGAAACATGTCTGAAATATAATTGATAATAAATCATTACAAACGAGTTGCATAATTCTCCCATTTACAAAATTAACCTATGTATGTGCTAATTTTTATATTAAAAAAATTAAGTATGAAATTTTTATTAATAACTTTATTGTATTATATTATTATCAACATCGTATCATTGTACAAATTTGTACAAATTAAGTTGAATAACATTATTAAATTTTCTGCTAAATTTCCTGTATTTTGAGTAACACTTAATTATTTTAATTAAATCTAATACTATGTCATAATTTATTCTCTGAAATTGTTACTTTTAAATTATAAGCTCAAAATATACTTAAATTGATATTTATTTCCAATAGGAACTGTAGCCTATTTATAATATAATATTTGGTACGTTATAAAGCCACTATGTACTTGAGTATAACTATATTGAGTAACATAGAGTCTTCATTTCGCGATCCATTATTGGTTCCATTAAAAATTTAACGTAACCCGATATTGATCCTAACCTATAGAACTTAAGAATTTCTATATTTTTTCCTTTTATATTTTGAACGTCACCGATGTTCCATTTTTCGCCACTAAATATATATCTATGAATATTCATTTCGATTTCTAACAAACACAAAGTGTCATCACCTTTATTAAATCAATAAAATAATATGATTTTGTTTTCCAGGAAAACGAACAGGACAGAGGAGTGTATACGGATGCTGCAAAAATGCGTATCTTTGGATCCAGCGTACACACCAGCCTATCTGGTCCTGGCGAGGTTGGCAACCGGTCCAACAGCGGGCGCACTTTTGCGACACGTTGTTCGACTACAACCACGAAGCCCCGACCATCTCACGGAATATGCTTCGTGGCTGTACCAGAATGGTAAGTGACAGTGGTGGAACGGCTAAATGGCTTAAAATGGGATAAAGGCCGACGGTTCCCGTCGCGACGGTCCAAAGTACGGGGTTAAAGTAGTTTAAAGTAGAGGAAACAACATCTAAACTCTGGCCGCGTAACGACCACCGCTTTATACTCACGCCAAATCGTCGTTCGTCTCTTCAGGCAAATGGCTGCCCTCCCTCAAGTACTATCTCAAAGCCATGGAGATCTCGCCCTCGCACAGATCGTCGCTTCTGGGAACGGTCAGGATACTGAGGTCGCGGGGTCAGTGGCCAAGGGTGCATCAACTCATCACCAGGTGAGTGAATGTAACCAATATCTTTTTGCAATTGCGATTTTTGCAATTTTCGTTGTTGCAAATGTGTAAATTGGTAAATTAAATAATGGTGAACGAGTTTGAAAGAGGAAAAGAGATGAAAGAGGTTGATTATACGTTATTCGAACGTTGAATTTTGATTAAAGCTGAATAAAAGTGTTTTAACTAAGTTTAATCTCATCTCAGGTTAAGAATTGTATCATCTTGAGCATTTGTTCCTTGAAAATTATAATTGTTATTTTCAGATTGAGAAATGACATTCTAATATCTAATACTTCATGAATTATTTAATTTTTGATATTCATAATTAATGTTTGAAAATGATAGATTATATAGAAATGAGAAAGAGATTATAAAAATTAATATTTCTTAATTTCTTTTTTCTTAAATTTCTGTCATTCTTAATTGGACATTGATGAGCTGACAATTATAATTAAGGATATTTTTCGTCTCATTGTTAATCTTAAGTTAATTTAATCGAATGATATTTCAATTTATGATATCAATCAAAAATTTGACAACAAATTCCACTTATAACATTACTTAATTCATAATGTAATTTCCATTCTATTTCTTCAAGTACAGATTACATTAGTAATCACAATTCAATCATTCTGAATTTTGCATACAGTTATTAAAAATTGTATGCAAAACATATATAAACAGATTTTTCGAATAAATTAAATCGTATATTAAGTCTTTACTGTCAAAAAAAAAAAAAAAAAAAATATTAAACGATAATTTGCCATCGTCGCTCAGCCTCAATTCTCAAGGACAAATTAGCAAAAGTAAACGAAATCTTGAGAACCTCTTTGATCTCTCTTCGCTGAAAAATTCCACGATATAGCCACTTATAAGCGCTCAAACAAATCCTCAGAACAGTTTAGCAACTTCAACTCTCCAAAGTTGACGACAAACTTTCATCCTTGAATGACAATCGTGTCGTTTGCTCAGTTTTCCAACCCTCTACTTTCACGCGCATATACGTATGTCCGAACACAGAATTACAATAGTCGATACTTGTGTCGACATCGATTTTCACTCTTCTTTTCTATCTTTTCTCGAGTATTAATGATAAATATAAAGATACTTATAAATCTAAAATTCGATAAAAAGAACTTCACTTTACCATGTGTATAACAATTTGCTGAGTATTTAATTTTCACAATGGTAATTTTGAACGAATATTTATTAAGTATATTAAATATTAAGTTTCAAATCTATTTGGAAATATATTTTCTTCTTTCTTTGAAATACTCGAATAAGAAAATACAAATTTGGTCAATGTTCAAATTTACTCGCGATACACTCGAATCCATCGCTAATTGCATTCAATTCTCGCGCAAATAGCATCTTTAAAAAAAGCCACGGTATAAATTTTCCGGCGACGAATCGTGTTTTTTGCAATCACGCAGAATCAATTCTTTCTTGCTGACCGAAATTATGATTCCGGATTTCGCGATCGATAAAAGGCCAACGCGTCAGTCAGTTTTCCAGCGAATGAATTCAGAGGATTGCAGAGAGGATATATCGTTGACTTCCTTTTTTTTTTTTTTTTTTTTTTTGGAATCAGAGATAGGATGAGGAACGAGCATCGTTCAATTAGTGGGTTTTTATGGATTGTTGATTGACGTTGAAAACCTAGATGTTTGATTTAGATCGATGAAAAATTTCGTTCCCATCCAGTTTAATCATTTCACGGGATGGTTCTCGTGTCAACCGTGTGATTGACCAATATTTGATAGTAATATGTACAGTTTTAGTGAATGATTAATCATTAGAAATTGATTAACCATGATGAATATATATGTAGATACAAAGAATTTTACGAACGTTGGTTTTTAGTACGATTTAAAAACTGTATAGTAAGACTGGCAAATGAAAATATAGTTCACTTTTAAAAATATAAAACAATATAATAATACATGAATTTATAAGATAAATACAAAAATATTTAATCACAAACTTTTTAAATCGCGATACATATAATTTCATGATATTATTCACGAAATCCTTCAATCACAATTCAAAAAAACTGTAAATTCCATTGTCCACGTGTGTACACGAGGTACAGAAACACGTTCGTACCATCAGCCAACGTTTACAAACCTTTCAACTTTATTTCCTTTCTCCTCGAACGGCCAAAAAGCCGCGGTGCAATCGAGGTTTAACATCGCAACGCGTGCAAAAATTACAGTCATAATGGGCCGTCCCCGACGGGATGGGTTTGGAGCCATACAAGAATTGCTCGAGCCTGGTACAATATCGCGGTGTGACATAGGCGTGGTCAACCGGCTGGCCCATAAATGGTCCAGGGTGGACGAGTCGAGGGGTTAAATTTTGGAGAAACAACGCGAAAAGTGACGGGGAAAAGAGAGAGAGAGAGAAAAAGAGAGCGAACCAAATTGGCAACACCTACGCCATCGGTGTAACTACCACTACACGCGTGAAGATTTCAATATGCACCGTTTGACAGATGTGCCACAGCGTGCAGATTTTAAATGCAAATATAAATCTGCCATGCAGACCGCAGAGTTGGTATGAGCAGCGTTGGGGTGGCGGAAGGTTTCGAAAGGGGTGCGAACGGATAGCGTACAACGGTGGAAGAATCATTTCGCGCGTTCCTCCACCTCTGTGTGCGTATGCATGCGAGTTTTCGTGGAACAGAGTAATTACAATAGTCTGCCTCTTTGTTTTCTGGCCGTGGAAGTCTATATTAGAGGGAACGGCGCGTGCAGTTTGTGTCCAGTTGATAGTTACGAGAGATCTTTTTCATTAGTATCAACTTAATCACCGTTGGAAGAACGGTCGAGAGACAGAGAGAGATTTTTTACTGATTTATCTCGCCAATGTTTCGTTTAGCCCGTCACCTTTTTCAAAGAATCGAGCCACGTATTGATAATAGGATAATCCTCGTTTGAAAATTTCTGGTACAGTGATTAAAGGTTGTGTGCGTCTTGATTAGAGGATTGCACGAACGAATTTATTGTTCCCTGTACTCGGGAATTTCGAGTGTCTTGATGTATTCTGGGTGTTGAATGTATTCTGCAGAAATTTTATTAGATATATTTGATGAACAGTATCTTCTTCGTCAAGTAAATTTGATCTTATTTATTTAATTTCTGAAATATTTTTATTTCAGTTGTGATTATAGATGATATTTTTGGATATTACTTTTAATTTGTTGTATTATTTGCTATTTAAAAAGATTTAAGACTTATTAAACTGAAATTCTAACTATCAAACTAAATGATAAAATGAAGAAGAATTTCTATAATATATAAAATGTATATAGTAATAATAATAGATGATATTATCTCTATAAGATAAGGATAAAATAACAACTTGAATTAATTTTTTAATTTTAAAAATATATTTTAATGGATATTTTTTTTCTTTTTCAAAGAAAATAAATTGAAACGAATTTTATTATATCGTGTATATTTAGAATAATTTTAATATAATTTACAGAAGAATATAAATGAGGACGGATTTTTTATTCAACGAATTTCTTTTGCACACGTTAAAAGAACTCTATCTATCCCAGAATAAATTTCTGAAGACTTTCATCGATGAATTTCTTTTAGGGACGATCAAAAATTCCAGAATAAATTTGCAAAGGAAATATCTTCACGAATAAACATTATCCCTACAATACATACATATTCGAGGGACATCTTTAAAGAAGAGCAAGCCTATGAAGTAATCGTCCTCGCCCCGTTTCATCCAATAATGTTGGGATGAATAAAACAATTCTCTTTAAAATTCAAATTTATCTAAATTCATTTTCGAGCAAAATTGTTCATTTTAAAAGTGTGATAATAACAATCAGTCAATTTCAATCAAGTAATTTTTCCTATTGAAGAAAATCAAAAGTATTTCGACGTGCAATAATAATAATAATAATAATAATAATAATAATAATAATAAAAATACGACGAATTTATTCATAGAATTTATTCATTTGAGATTGATGTATATTGAATCTGGAAAATATTGATTGTTTAAGTAGATTGCGCCTCTAACCACCACACGATGACGTACGTTTGTAAATAAACCGTAAAACGATAAATTTGTCAAATCTTACACCGCATTTTCGACCGTTTCATTGTTCACTACATTCGGCTCATGAATTATTCATGCGAATGAATTATTCATCAGAGAAGAAGTGTGGAACTGGTCAACGTTTAACCATGAGCCCTCTGTTGTATATAATACAAATCATCGCACGCGTAAATCATTACGCAACTTGCGCTTAAACGATGCTTATCACCGAACTGTGTTAAAGAAATTTCTCTACCCAATGTAGAGATGAAGGGATAGTTAGTGGAATAATATAAAAATCATTATTATGATGTTAAGAAAAAAATTAATACTAAAAGTATCGACTTATTAATTATTTTTGATAAATTTAAGGAGAGGTTAGGTGTTAGGGATTTCCTATATCAGTAGATGGCGTCACAGGTCTAAGAAATATGGAAAGTTTTTCAAATATCCGATTTTCTTTTCGATATGAGCATTTTTATATTTTTCATCATATCACAACTGGATAAAAAAATCCACTATTATCGAAAGAATGAAATATTTGAAAAGTAATATAATATAAGACATGTTTTTCAATGAAGAAGACACGATTAAAAACACGATTGAATATAATGAAAGTATTTAATATAAACTAGAAATATAGTCGAATTGTTATAAATTTGATACGTTACCGAAATTTTTATATTTTATTTATATTTTTCCATACACAGTAGATTGGATTCCTTTTTGCAGTGACTGCACAAGTGTCAGATTAACTTCTCATAAATCGTTGGTGGTTTTCATTGATTGGTTCCAGATTCCATTTACGCTTCGAATATACAGCTACTGTTTCAGATTTATTGTATAGCATGAGCTAATTTATTTTCTCACTCTCTACGATGTGGAATTAAATTACTAAAAAAATTTATTTATATTGTTTAATGTATAATCGAATTTTCATTTAAATATTCGATATTTATTTTATATATTTATATTTATTTTATACTTCCAAATGAAAAGGTAATATAAACACTTCATCATTCAGCTTTTAACTGTGTTTATATAACGTAATGTAAAAATTTTTTCATCATTTTTAATGATAATTTAACTGATGAAAAAATTTAGTAATAATTTAATACAAATTAGGATTATTTCTAGAATTAAAATTTAATATTTTATACGTTATTTATTTCGAAAATAAAATTCAAAGTAAACATAATACTGAAATAAATTGGATAGATTTTCAAAAATATATGCATTTTCAAAAATACATATATTTTTATTTATTCCTTCGTAAAAAAAAAAAATATATAAATCGTAGTAATGTAAAATCACAAAAACTTTAAAAATTGTAATTTATATACATTTGAATTTCGCTGAAGTCTATTATTCTTTCTATGATAAAATTTTATTATAATTTACATGATATATCATGAAATTTTAGAAATATGAAACCACGATGCTTTTATGCCGAGATATAAAATTTTTGCATTTGTAAATTTTGCAGGGAAATTTGATGAATCCATTTTCACGTGAAAAAAATTTCTGTTCTAGCGAGAATTATATATTAGCAATCAGTCAAAAACATTCAGTATCGATCGGAGATGCATTTCTGTGCTGAATTAATGCGTTATGAGATCAAAATTGATTTTGATATATCTATCAAAAATATGACTGGTGTTTATCTATGTTGCCGTGTACATAAGTGATTTTACTATCTGATAAATTAAAAAACTAATAAATATTAGTTCGACGTTTTCAAACATTTTTTTGAAATCCTCTTATTTACGAATTTAAAAAAATTCTTTTTAGAGGAATATTCGTGATAGAATCGAATACGTCGAAATGTTAATTGAATCAAGATTTTTCAAATGTAATTATTAATACTAATAATTTACAATAAAATATTTATTTATAAATGAATTATTTTGGATTCAATTGTTTTTTAATGAATGATATTTCTCATAAATTTGAGAATAACACGAGAATAGAATAATAATATTTTTAAAGAATACACTTAAAATAATAAAACACAAACTGGATATATTAAAATTTTTAAGTAGAACAAACAATAAACAATTGTTCATTGTTCTGGAAAAATAATATATATATATATTATTTTCTCGTATTTAAATATTTATTATTTATTGAGAAATTCGAATTACTTTGAAATATATATGAAACGAGGAAACATTAATTACAATTTAATACTAATTATTTATACTGAAATAAAATCCAGAAAAACGAACTATCAAAAATGCTGAAATATATATAAATATTTAACTGTTAAAGCAACGAAATATCTATAGATTTATATTTTGAATATAAATCAGAATGTGATCCAGAAGCGGCGTAAGCTTTTCCAGTTGGACGTGCAACTTCCTCTTTGTATCGTGACTTTTTTAAACGTATAAATTCCGAGGAAAGCCACCGTGTCAGAGGATGATTCCATAGGCAACGATAACGTCGTCACCGTTGCGTTAAGCGCTCGTCGGGCTGATAAATCGGGAATTTACTGACGCTACCTCCGATTCTGTATTTTCGTCCTGCCGAGCCTGAAATCGCATGTGCACATATTCACGCGAGCAGATTTTTTGGAAAATTTATTTACGAAATTCTGTTCTTCGAGAAAAAACTGGAAAAAAAATTCTTCCAAAGTATTTTCCATACACGCGTAACACTAAAATTCTACGAAATAGATTTTCCAATAACAAGTTTAAATTTCAATAAAGAATCGGTGATTCTAAATTTTTGATAGTTTCAATATGAATAATATTTATTATTAATATTAAATAAATTTTTTAGAGAAAAATGAGGAAATTATTGAACGACTTATACATAATATAAGAGAATGGTAGAGTAACAACAATTCAAGTGAAACTCCACAAAAACAATATTTCTTCAATGTTTTAATTTATTATTGGATTGTTATTAATCCCACACGATTGACAAAACAACAAAATACAGAAAATCGAAAATAGAATCAATGTAATTACTACTTCTGCATAACAGAAGAACACGATATTATTTAGCAATTCTATTCTCTTTCTTCTCATTTATGATCTTTCTCTATTCCTTTAATACCTACACTGTTCTCTTCTTTTTTTCTTTCTCGTGCAGTTCACCACTCTCATCATCTCGCACTCAATCACTCGTGTTACATCGGAACGCAGCTTTTATCGGTAAATGGAAATTTTATAATTCATGAAGAATCGTGTTTTTTCATCCGCTGCGCTGCAAAATGGCCGATATCGTTTGATCTAACGAAACCTACACGTTACCACTTCGTTACGATCGCCGTTCTACTACTATATTTATTTCGCGTTGATCCTCGAATTTTGATTCACGTCTGCTATCTGTTTCGAAGATGCTTAATTGCTAATTCGAAGTAAAAATATTTGAATATCGTTACAGGAGAAAATTTAGCAAGTTTATTTTTGATGATATTTTNCCTCCCTCCCCCCTGCGAGAATTCTGGAACGTCGCCACGTGGGAATTTGGACACGCGTTTCTGTTCCCCGCCCAACGACCCTTCCTGTACCCCTCACTGTGTGCTGTAACCACTCTGATCGTCGCTGTTAGCTTTTTTTTTTCCTCTGTTCGACGTTTCTGAGACGCGATATCGAAAGACGAGCAACTTTTTCTACTGGAGCGACGTCCAGACGAGAAGAATTTGTGTTGCAACGTTATTGTAATGTAACGAAACAATCAAGCAATTTGGATATTTATATTAGCAATGAACAATTACTTGGTAACAATGTGCAAAAGGCGGCTGAGAGGTTGAAGAGAACAAACGAGGAGGAGGTGGGAATTAATGGTACGAGGAAACCTGGAACACATTGCCTTTTATTTCCTTATGAAATGTCACGAATGTACGACATGAAACGCTCGAAAAAATTCGAAGATTCGATGAAAATTATCGTGAACCATCCAGGAAGTCATCTCTGAATCGTTTAGCAAGAGACAAGTTTTTTGAGAAATTTTACTCCGATTTGCCAAATTTTATATGATAAAATCCTCGTGATGTAATTCTGTCTTTCGATTCTCCTGAATTTCTATCTTGTTTGAAGGATTTCTTACTTATTGTTTATTAATTCTTGAAATTAATGAAGTGATGATTGATATTTATATTTCAATCATAATAATAAATAATTACAAAACGAAATCTACAGATTATTTATTAATATAAGATTGCTCGTATGTATGATTTTAAGAAGATGAGAAAGATAGTGATATCTAAAATGAACCACTACACAAAGATGAAAAAAAAAAAAAGAATGCTTGATTATATCACGACAAAAGAATATCCCTGTGAATTTCTATTTCTAAAAATTAATTACAGAATATTATTATAAATAAATTTTTATCCAAAGTTCCGAACGATTAATTTTTGGATGAAGATTAAAAAATTCTTATAATCGAATTTATAAACAAAACATATAAAGATCTATTCTTCGTTGTAATAGCTATAGCTTAATAATTTGTGGACGCAACAGGGTCTAGATTTTAAATAATCTTCGTTTTCTCTCTTATAACTCGTCCTCGGCTATAGAAAGTATCAAGAGTTCCAGGTTAATGTTGCGAGCAAACTATGTGATAAAGAATCGCGCTTCCTCCCTGGCGCTCTCGACTATTGACTCCTGATATTCACCCTCTTTTCCGCCTCGTAAACACGCCGCTCGGCCGCGAAAAAAGAGAATGAACCCCCGCGCGCGGAAGTGACGCGTGAAAAGGGTGTGTCATTTACGAATTTATTTTTATCGAGAGGGTGTAAACGCTCGTCAGAAACTCCATCATCGTGTACGCGAGCATGACTTGCAATCTTATGGCAATTTATTTCGCGTCTGAAACGTATGTTTCTTCTTTTTATCATCATCATCATCCATGGATCTCGTTGAGAAATTTCTTGTTTATAGTTTCTCTTTTTTCGAAAATCGGAAAAATGAATAAAGGCTCTTTTATTTCTGCACGAACATAAATTATATTGTTCTCTTTCTTCTTTGTGGAGAAAGGAATCGAGAAGAAGATATATTATAATTTTATACAAACATCAGGATTAATTCATGATTAAGTATATTCATAATCGGAAAGATATAGATATTTTAAACTTGAATTTAAATTATTTTAAAATATTTTAAAAAAATATTTTATACAAATTAATTATGTTAAATTCTCGAATATTGAATACTGTTATTTTATTTTTTTTATTCTATATATGTAATTTGAAATTTTTTGAAATTTTCCTCGATTGATTTATACTAAATAACATCTACGTTTGAGATCTACATGTAAAATGTAACCATAAATGATATATTAAATAATTTCTTTCAATTTAAAATATTTTCTTGTGTCCAATATATCAAATAACGACAATAATCCTAGAAATATGGGAAATTTGGTGATCTCATAAATAATGTGCCGAATATTTATTGTCGCGCGTGAAGAGATCGTTTTAAATTTGATCGTATTTGGAGCAGATTGAAATATATTTTGCATATTTACGTTTCAGATGGCACCTGATGTTACGAGCGAAAAGAGGCGGCTTGGTATATCGCGGTGATCTTTACATACGCGCGTGGCAGTTGCAAAGTGAATCTCGTCGTCGTGCGCATCAGCATCAAGGAAATATCTGCTTGTCGGTCAGTAATTTTTTTCTTCATACTCAAATAAAGAATTAATAAATTTTGAATAAATGTAACACTGAAAACAGATTATATCGTATAATAAAGTTGTTCTCTTCTTTAATCAAAATATTTAACATCTTTCCCCAAGATTACAATGTTTCACGTGTTTCCTTTCTTTTAAATAAATAAAAGGTAAGGAAAAATAAATAGGTTTCAAAACATTTAGAAATGTTAATTAGAATTATTCATTATTTGAATCGTGAAGAAAAATTTAAATTATTAAAATATAAATGTATCATTATACGAATTTTTATATCATATGGACAAATATATAAAATTTCCTCCTTCGTGCTGTTAAATTAATTACGTAAATCAATTAGTTACTTATTTTGTTTAATTCAATACACTCAGGTATAAAATACAACATATTCATTTCCCTATCCCTATATTCCATTAGTATAAGTAAAACCATTATCCATTTGTTTCATCGTACAAATGTATACATACGTGTTATATCTCTCCATAAAACAACGTAGTTGTCTGTACAACGGAATTAATGAAACAACTACATTACCAACCCATCACAATATAATATCGAGTTATAACAATAATTAATAAACACTTGCTTCCATCCTGTTAAACTGCTAAATTGTAAAACTTTCGATTCGTAATATCATTAGTTCTCTCGTTTTCAACGCAGAGTAATATCGATTGTGAAATGACACAAGGCTACACAATATCATATATACTTCTATTAAGTTTCCAAATCGCTCGACGTTGATCCCACTCTATCACCCTTTCTCTTTGATCCCTCTCGTTTCAATGTTTCCGCCATTCTTTCGGCGACATCCGCCTCATTTCGCGTTCGAGTTGCATAAGAGGGCTCTTTCCTGTTCCAGTAAAGGTAATGGAACAAATTAGTCTGCGGAGAACCGGATACCGCGAGTCCACACTTCCGCCCTCTTAAACTCCTTCGAAGATTAATTGAGATTCCTCGGTCACCTCGTATCGCTATAATTCTAATTAAATAGATTCGCCCCTCTTTCTTTCCATCCTCTATTTCTTTCCATCCCCTTTCGTATTCCACCCCGGCCGTCTAACGCGCCCATTCACGGAACGATTCGTTCCAGTCGTTAACGATTCAACTCGTAGAAACTTGGCCACTTCGAATCGATGTCTCTTCCATTTCCCCCATATTATATTTTCTTCCCTTATTTTTCTCGATAAAATGTTTCCCATTGATCGTTCGACGGATATCCCTTCCCTTTTTATTCCTGTCGTTATAGATTCTATCTATCGCTTTTCCTCACTTTTCTTTTCTTCTCTGGTTTAGCGAAGTGACTTCGGCGGATTATTAAATTGTTGGAAATGTGATCGATGAAGAGTAATTCCGTTGGGTAAAGAGATGTGAATGGTAAAATTTAGACGAGAAGGAATTTGTTTAATAATAGATTAAAATAATTTTCTTTGTTAAGACACGTATTTGTATGTTTTGTTACAATTTTTTCGTTTGAAGGAACTTGATTTCGAACATAATAATAGTATTTCTATAAATTAACATGATATTTTTATATATCACCAAGATCATGTATATCTTTTTATTTCTTGATTTAAAAAGATATAATATGTTATGTTACGACAAACTTTTTTATAATATTCAAAGAAACAATACAAACACGATTACAAAAAGATAAATTCGAAATAATATTGAATACAAAATCGATTCCTCTGTAAGAAGAACAATTTTGTTTCTACTATCTTTATAAATTTATATTCTCGTCGAATAATAGCTCAAAATCCACTTCCTTTTAGAACTTTTAAATTTACCATAAAATCGCCAGATTCATCCTTCACATTTCGAATCTACCGAATAAAACTTTCGAAGTTTTAAAATAACTAATTTTTGCGAACAACCCAAAAACCAAAATTTTCAATTTTCTCTGTCCAAAATTTTCAAAATTTCGCAATTCCAAAAATACTCGATATTGATATCCTGTCCACGATTTGTAATCCATTAATTGTCCTCGAGCAACCGAATAAAAATATCCGGGTTCGATCGCACAAAAGTCAAAGGCGTTGATCCGCATGCGGGGTTGATTAGCCACGATTCACGATCTAAGCACCCTCGACGCGTGTTTCCAGCTTGTGTACGCTCGACGGGGCGAGTAAACGTCACTGCTCCCCTTCAAACATGTCGAATTGTCTGTTGCAGGAGGGCGGCTGTTCGACACCGCGTGTCGCCAGTGTGTCAGTGCAGCTCGAGCAGGACAGCAACAAGTCGGAGCAGCTTGAGCGGGCGCCACGTTGCAACGTACGTACCTGTAGACAGTCGAGAAAGGGGAAGGCACGTGTGACCGCCCCCGCCCTCCTCGTCCAGAACCTCCTGGAGACCCTCTAGCTCTAGCGAGACTCTTCGGCTAACCCCTCGCCCCTGTGATTTCTGTGTCTCATCCCCCCCTCGGTCTCACTTTGAACGAAGGGTTCGACGAGTTTTCTCGAACAACTCCAACACTCGTTGTCGGCGTGCTTGGTTACTTTCTAACGATGCGAGCAAAAAGGGGAAAAGGCATGTTGTTTCATTCAGGATCGATCAAGAAGAAATTTGTGTCGAGATAGTCTTAATTTTCCGATATGTATGATAAGTTTTTGAAAATCAAAGTTTTGAGTTTTCGAAAAATCACGAGAAATATGAACGAACCACTTCGATTACGAAATTTCATTATAAGAATTAAATATGGTTGCACGTGTAAGAGGGTTAAAGATCCTCGAACGAAATGAGATTTGTTTCGAGATGCATAAATGCGCGACTAGTCATGAAATCGAGATTACTCGAAATTACTTTCCGCTCTGTATAAAGTGTATGCTTCTTCTTATCTCGCAGTCTGATCTCATCACTAGACGCGAGACACGTGCCGAGACAAATCTCACGATTTAAAGGTCACACTTTAAAATTATTCCGTGAAATCGTGGATCGATCGAGAGGTTGCGTGTTCATCGGAGGATGAAGGACCAAGCGAGGGAAAAAGAAAAGAAATGTTGTTCTACGTGGAACGGTGGTGTGGGGAGTAACGTGGTTCGAGATAATCGTTTTACGCGCACTTAACATGTGATGGATCGGCCGTAATATAGTTACTACTATATACATAGAGTAGCGTCGAGATGTTTCTAATAAATATTCGCTGTACTTCGAGTGTGCTTTCGACGTTCTCAGAGAAACAGTGCTCTCGTCGCGATGCTACTCGTCGTTGCGTTCCTTTCGTGTAATTTTTCCCTCGATTTTTCCATATTTCGAGAAAGAAAAGAAGATACGATTTATAATACCATTGATCAAGAGTTTGAGTAACATTTGTTATACTGTTCAGATAACAATCATTGAGTTTGTTCGAAGATCCTAAACTAATAAATAAAGAAATGCAGCATATATTAATAATATTGGTTCTAATGAAAATTTTTGAAGTAAGTTTAAATATTTATTAATATATTAAAGGAAAAGTAAGAGAGAGAATTATTAATTATATTATACACAAGAATTGAACGCATGCAGGAAGCAATAAATATAGAATCTCTCTGATTTACCTACCCTTATTATTGAAAAAAGAAACTGTGTATTTTTATAACGGTAAAATCATTAAAAAGATATGGTGAAAGATATTAAATTTCTACGATTTATTAGGATTTTTATTTATGGAATACAAATTAATGCAACAGTAGCGTACACAAACTTTCGATCGATAGAATTGGAGAAGCGAATTGAACCGTGAATCGATTCGAAAAACTTTTAACGATATTTTTCTTTCTTTTCTTTCCTTTTTTTTTTTTTTTTTCTATTTAAAACATCGTGGTGGAAAAAATTGAAGAGTCCACACGATCGATCGACGGCGAAAATTACACGAGAGGATTAAAAAAAAAAATCCGATCTGCGCTTTACCCTTACCGCCCTATCGTTTCGAAGACTATTTCTTATTTCTTTGTTTCATTCCTACGAGACGGAAATATGCCTTCGTTACGAACAACCGTGACCAGAAGAAACCTTTGGTAAACGTGTAAATAATGACTTTGACTCCGCGTTACATTGGTCCGCGTTTCGAGACGATGTAGACGACGAACGTCGAAGAATCGAGAGAGAATAGTTCTCGAATTTATTTTTCACAGCAGCATTGATGATGGACGATTTAATGATATACGCGTACGTACAGAGATACAATCGATTCGCCTATAGCCGTAATCGTTTTCCCTTCGGATCGTTCTTACATTACGTGTTTCAACCCATGCCAGGACGCGCACGTATGTAATTAACACGGTGCCAATATTTAGCGTTTAATTAAAACGTGAATCGGCGTTTTATATAGCCGTTTGATATGGCTTTTTTTTTTTTGTAAGAAAATCGATTAAGGAAGCGTGAGTTGATTGAAGGAGAAGGAAGGATAATAATTATGTACGACATTTCTTCGATGAGCTTTGTTCGGCAATGTTTCGATTTCGTTTGGATAGAGCACGATTTGCTGCAAGTCGAGATCTTATTATATGTATTTGTGGTATTTTATTAATTTGTATATTTTTTTTTTCCTCGTCATGAAAAACTGCTCCTGTTTGACATTTATGATATTATAAAGAATTCGTGTTACGAAATCATTGAAAAATAAAAACGTTCAAAAAGATTCACTATTTATTCATTTGTTTAAAAACAATGTTGAATTAAATAGTAATTTTATAGAAATTATTACTAGCTAAATTGGAATAAAGAATCACATTGAAGATGTAGACGTTTTTACAAAAAAAAATCTTCGAGAAGAATACCATAATTTTATATATCGATTAATTTTTCGATATTCAACATTCGATCATCCGAATTTATATAAATTCACTTCTTAATCGAATAGAAAACATAATATCAGAGATTATTGGAGGATGAAAACAACCCAATCTGTCTTAATCTAGGTCGCCGAACATGGCCAATCAGCCGAAGTTTCATTTAAAACGAACCGATGAAAACCGTGACCGTTGAATCGAAACGAAAGGGAGATTCGCTCGACATCCTATATTAAAGAGAGCGAATCGATCGTGGCGACGTCTTTCCGTCGATAAATCGTTGGAGACACGTGTTTTTGTGAGGCACTCTTGAAAAAAAGAACGAAAAAAAAAAAAAAAATGTCAGAACGAAAAACGGATTTCAATTAAAAGGAAGTTTGATCATGGCGAGTCCCTTTGTGTATCTTTCGATAGAATGTCCAAGTTTCTCGTTTAGAACGAGGTGTGAAAGTGGCATAGAAAACTCTCCTTTTACTCTCCTTTCGTCCCCCCTTTTTCGTCGATCTCCCCCCCCAAAGTGAATCGTCGCTTTGAAAAACGAACGCCTTCATCGAAACGTTGCCAAAACTTAATAGAAGACCAATGTATATACGCTGTATACTAACAAAAAAGAAAAGAAAAATTCGTACAGACATCGAAACATTTGGCGATGCTTATTGAATAATTCCCTAATTATTACGATATTGTACGTTCGAGTATGTAACAATTCGAGTGAATTTTCTCGCGTGGCCATCGAATCGATTGCTCTCGAGAGTTTAAAGAAGAAGAAGAAGAAAAAAAGGAGCGAGTGAAAGAACGTTTGTATGTGTATGTGTGTATGTGTATGTGTGTGTGTGTGTATGTGTACAAGAAAAAGAGAGAGAACGTGCAATGGAAGCTTCAAACAAGATTCGTGGATGTCAAGATGCACAAACGTGACATGAATTTGTATATAACATGTTTTCGTTGGCTCGTGTATGCGTTCTATTTTCTCCCCATGACCTTGCATCCCACCCCATCCCATATATCCCCATCCCCTTTTTCTCGTCGAGAAATTTTCAAATCGAAGCACGTTGGTGGTGAAATAGAAGAGGAGACTGTCACTGGCCAAGCAGCAATTTACCTCACGAAATCGCTGCCCGCGATCGATCTCGTTGCCAGTTATGGGAGCCAGAGAGCAACGGGGTCGATAGGGGGTGGCTGGTAATCGATGAAGGTCGATTCAAGATGAAAATATTTTTTTAAACGTGCCGTAGCACGAGCGTAGACGTTGCTTCGATTCGATCGTGTTGCTGCGTGGACGATATTATATTTTTCGGGAAATCATCATTTTAGATTCGATTCGATCTTATATCTCGAAAGAAGATCGTATTGATCGTAAAGAACATTCATTTTTTTTTTTTTTTTTTTTTGGTAATATTATTAATATCGTAGAAAAAAGAAAAAGAATTATATTTTTGATAGAACCTTCAATATATCATAATCTTATTTTTAAAGCAACAACGTTTCTCAAGTACGATATATTTTTCATTCATTTTTCTATCATCCAATCGACGCTATATGGACACTATTCGGTAATTAATATCCTATATCTTAAACTTTTTCCGAAGAATAATATCGTCATTGGTCCAGGCACGCAACACCTAGAGTACACTCGTGAATGAAACGCGAATATTGCGCCCTCGAATTCTCTCGAAGCGAGATTAACGTTTAAAAATAGTGCACGCGCGCGCGCGTGTAAATTGAAACGTTTCAACGCTCGAAGAAGCTGATATCTTTCATTTTAAGACGGTGCATTGCAGTGAAATCGATGTAATTTAAGGATCCAGTTAATTCCTCGAGAGGACGATGTAAACGTTATTTTATTATCGTAACGAATAGATAACGGAGAAGTATTTATATAGCTATGCTTTATTACCGGAGACCGGTAAACCGAAATTGTTACAATAATTGCTCAGCGAATAAGCGAACATACGAGATTGTTCATCGCTTACTGTGTACAGTACAACACTAATAAAAAAGAAACAAATTACGGCTTCATTTTCAATCTTATATACGAATCCTTATACAAAGACGCGAATTTATTTTAAAACGTTTCCAAAACTCCCAAAGATATTTGTTATATATTATTTGGAGACGAAAGCCTAGAATGAAAGGAGAATAGTATAAACATTGAAAAGAATAAGATTAATATTGTAAAAAAGTGTAAACGATAAAGGTAAAAGGGGGGAAGTCTGTGAAACGGCTCAACGCTTCTAAAACGCGAAACCGATACATTTCGAGGTTCGTTGATGGATTGCCAATCACTTCAGTTCCTACCAGTTTTTTGGGGAATACAGAGTTTCGAAACGATTCGCAAGAAACTATTTGTCGCGTTACTTTCGCATTTTCATTTCCCAAACAAGTTTCTGATTGACGAGTTTTCTGTCTACGACTGTTCCACAAGAATCGATCCTCGTTGGAACTCTACGATATAAACGAACGAGACGGGATTCCGGATCGATCTCGACGATGATAATGTAGCTATGAAATCATCGAAAAAGAAAGAATTTTTTATTAATTTATAACGAATCGTGAAATGAAATTTTATTCGATCGAAGATTTTGAGATGCAAGATTTTCAAAAC